TTATTTAAGCACAGACCATTCCAGCCACAGAGCAACAGAAACATTTTTGTTTGGTTTTCACTAATGCAGAATGAGCAGCTAAAACACAGACAATACTAAGGAACATATTCTGTTCTCGTAAACCAAGGGTTCCCCTGAGTGAGCAGTGCGTGTTCAGATCTGGGCACCCAATTCAAGAAAGATATTGTCAAAATACATGTGGGATTTTGAAATAGACACTAATTAGAAAATGGAAAATATAATAAAAAAAAAGATGGAAGAGACTGGGACGGTGCCTTCAGGGTGAAAAAACTTAAGTAGGTGTTTGTGTTTTGGAACCACCTTTATAGCCAGCGACAAAAAAAAAAAGGAATGTGATGACAAATGCTGACTCTTTCCCTCTCAGCAAAAGAAAATATACAAATTTTAAAGTTTGGAAAGAAAACTCTTGTGGCATATCATCAAACTTCAAGTGCTACAAGGCAACAGTGATGCCAAAATTTAAGTAAATTAAAAAATAAAGTTTTTTACTTTTAACTGCCACTATGAATTCATGTCCAGACAGAGACATACAGTGAAACTTTTACAGACTAAAAGGCTTCCCACGTCTGCATATAAAAGAGCCTGTAATTACTAAGGGCTGGGAAGAAGCTCTCTGTGTATGAGAGAGCTTCCCTCTGCAGGTATTCCTGTGTCACCTTCTGAGACTGGACAAGAGCAGAAAAAAACCCTTCAGATGAGAGAATGTATATAATAAATAATATTATTTTGTAACTATTTTGCAAGAAGTTTATAGAACTGTGAAGAAAAGCCTTAATAGAATAAAAGACACTTCACTAGTTATTATAATTTTTCTCCCTTTGGGGAGGTACATAAAGAACATTTAAAAAGCTATCTTGATTTAAAAATCTTGAAAGATTGTTCTTTCCTCATGAAAAGCAATTTATTTTGATGTCTCACAAACTCTTTTTTCTATGAGTATTTAATACATATATGGAACAATTACAGTTTAACCATTTGCTAATGGTTATATGAAAAGATCATCATATCTTACATTACCATGATCCCTTAAAGCAAACTGCAGCAGCTTTAGCTGCAGCAAGACTTTCATTAAATCACTCATCTGCATTGCCTTGCCTTGCAATTATGAATCCCACTTTGTTTTTTTCATGGACTCTTAAATCAGTCAAATATCCGAAAATTAAAATATCTAGCAATTCCCTCTACATTTATTACAGTTATTCTATAACTGGGCCAAAAGAACACTTCACTTGAGCGGCACAGTTGGCTTTGAATTAGCAAAGCCACACTGAGCTCCAGCCAGTGAGGCAAACAGGAGCTCCCCTTCAGCACAAGGCTGCCTGTGAAAGGAAAAACAATTAATGGATGGGATCAGTAGTGCCAGTGGCTCATTTATAAAGCCACCTTACAAAGCAGACAGAAATGACGTAAATCTGCTTCATGGTGTGTTTTGCTGAAAGTCCGTGAGAGAAGTAAGATAGCACCTAAACTAAAATGTTGTGGAAACAAGGTGCTTCTCAGGTAATGTTTCTGACTTTACCTATACACAGGGATCCATCTGCTGAGTACATTGCATGGCAGTCAGCACTGATTGCTCAGCCAGTTAAATGGTTTTTCCTCCCTTCCTCCAGTTCAGAAAACTGAGGCTGATACTCTTTGCTGTTGCCAGTGTGCGCCTAGAGGGGCACAGTAACAACAGGCCCAGGGCAAAAGTAGCTACCCCTGAGCTCTCTGATTTTACAGCAGCCATCACCCAGGGTTTATACACCGGAGCAAAGCTTAATGTAGTTACAGATTGAAGAAAACTACAGCAAAACCCTTTCATTCTAGAAACGTTTTTAATTTCACTTGCATATTTTAACAGAAATACAATATGCTAGCAGCAAAAAATAAAAAGGAAGATTTCTGTTCTAACATTTCACAATACATTAGTGTCCAAATCTGCATTTTTCTATTAAGGCAATCTGCATTAATTACACATCAACTGTGAATACTAGGACAGCATTTCCAAATATGTACAAACCTCTATAAAATAACTGTTAGTTTTATTATCATAGGAAAAAAATATCACAATACTAGTAAAAATGTAAACATTTGAAGCTAATGCCTTTAAAATCAAAAAAGGTACCATCTACCATTCCAAGACCAAGTAAACAGCTGAAAACATTAGCTAAATATAAGAAGTTACCACATTAAGGCTTTGTTCAGTCAATATTTCAAAAGTTGTTCATGTTCCGTGAAATTTATATTCAAGTTTGGACTAGCAATTACTTTCAAGTTGTATTTCCTAAAAAAGGAGTTCAGGCTGACTCCTGTCTCTGCCCAACTTAAAGACAGTAATTCCAGAACTTAATTTTGCTTTTAAGCAGCATTAACTCGTTCCACCAGCAAACAAGCAGGTACAGTTTCCAGAGCAGGCCTGACATGTTCCTCAGAGAAGTACCTCTTCACGTGCAGTTCAGCAGATGCCACCAGTGTTTTCCCTGTGCTACACTGAGTCTCTTGAGCCATTCGTTCTGGGCTCAGGGTCTCTGAACAAATACCATTTTTCCATGGAATTCCCTGTCAGGCAGCAGCACTCCAGCTTGCCTGCACAAATGTGGGGAATGGGATGCAAGAGCTGGGAGAAGCCACAGGCCTCCTGCTGTCCTCCAAGCCTCGTGCAGCAGGAGGCTGACTAATGTCTCCTGCGCCTTTGTGAAGTATTTCCTATTTTGGCGTCATTTACATGTTATCAAGTGAGTTTTGGGTTTTGATCACTGATATTTTGAGTCATGCAATCAAAGCACCCTCACGATTGAGTGCAGCTGATAAGATGGTGTAATGGTTACATTCTCTTTCGCTGCCCAGAAGTAGCATTTCCCCTATGGAACAGACACCTTCTGCCTCTTGACTCCCCTCACCTCCCCTTGGAAGGACAAAAGTCAAGAGTTCCCTAGCTCCATGTGCTGCCAATAGATGGGATTCAATGACCATCACCCTTCAAACCTCACAGCTTGGGACCTGAATCAGCGCCAAACCTAAAACACTACTGCACCACACTGCCACAGACCTGGCTTCCTCCTCATAGAGTGCTGGGCACAAGCAACTTCCTGGTCTTAATTCCTATTTTGAATATTCATCCTCACTATGGTCAGGAAAACTTGTGAAAAAACCCAGAGGGATAGTTCTAATTTCTGAAGAAGTCTATGCAATGAAAAGGGACCAGTACCAGTAATAAAGTACTACAATTTGAAACTATATGGAAAAGACAAAACCGAACAATTTTCCTCACAGATGTATCTTCTAATTATATTCCTAAAATCGTACTCTGCTTTTATTACTAATATTTATGTTCTCTTGCATAGACAAAAGCTGAGTACTAATGTATTTCCTAAAACTGACTTTACTGTACAGCTAAGACCAGTGTTGGCTGGTAGCCTGCAGGTTTTATTAGTTAAACCATCTTAACAGAAAATGCAAAGGCAATAATGGCAATCCAGAAGAGGGGAAAAAAGGACTAAGTCAGCAACAATAAATACTAAAACCTGAAGTCAACTGTTGCTTCATAATAGGGATTTTATAGTTCTGAAGCAGGATGATTAGGGTAATTAATGGCCTAGTTTGCTTAGTGGTTATCACAGCAATATCATGAACTGGCCCACATGAGTCTAATTTAAGGATAGATATAAAATATAAATAAACACAGCTTCATGGACAACTGGTCTTGAACAACAGGTTGCATTTCACTCTCTGATATAGTAAGCTTGGCTTGCTAAGACGCCTGCACTGAGGTGTTACCCACACGAACCCTAAGTCACCTACTGAAAACCAGTGAACATGTAATTTCCTTAAAAATATCAATACTAGATCAAATCAATATAGAATGTTATGCTGAAGACAGAAAACTAATTTCAAAATACAGTATTAATAAGAATTCAGCAACAAGTATAGCTGTTTTCCATCTTACTCAATTTTTTAAAGGCTCTGGGATAAAAGCAACTCAATGGCCTGTCTGTTTCCTTTTCCCCATCCCCCTACCCATGTCACTGATGTAATAAAAACTTATCACCTCTCTCTACAAACCTTGCCTTGCATTCAATTTTAAAAATCAATGATCTGGAAGAAACTGTAAAAATCACTTGCAATAAATTTGCAAAGGACATGCAGACTGCTGGAGTAGTAAAGAACGAGGACAGGTCACTTATACAGAGCAATCTGGATCACTTCATGAGCAGTATTTTAATGCTGGTAAAATACAGTGTGTATTTCTAAGAAAATATAAGGTAGGATAATAAGAAGATGATGTACCGCATTCTTGAGAAAACTCCGAAGAAGCCTTGAGCCATAAAAGTCAGCATCCAAGTCAGCATCCAAGGCTTTTTTTCCACAAAAAAAAGCATAATGCAATTTTTGAAGAAAGAGGAGAGGGAGATATTCATCAGAGTAAGAGGATCACATTGTGTCTCTATACAGTCCTGATGGATCACTATTGACACGTGGCATCTCATTCAGATGTCAGCCTTAAAAATATTTCTATACATAAGAAGTACAGAGAAGAACGTGAAGATTAATTAGTCTTAGGTAACATTCACTGCCACAAGAAAGTTAAGGAATTCAGTACGTCTCATCAGAGAAAAGGTTAAAAGGGACATAATCATGATTTACAGCTACACACAAGCAATTAGAAAAGCTGATACTACAGAGATCAATATAAGCAATCAAATGCATAAAAAGACCAAAATAACTTAAGGTGGAGCTAGAAATGCAAATAGAAAATCAAGTGAAAAATGTACCTGGGGTAATTAACTATTGCAACAGGAGGCATAACTGAATTCTCATCACTTGAAGACTTCAAATTAATATTAAATGCCTTGCTAAAATATGTATGTTCAGTTCAAAACAAAGCCACCGAATTTAATAGAGAAACTGCTCGTTGAAATTCAATGGCCTGTTGAATTTAAAAATAAATCCTCATTATGGTGCCTTCTTGCCTTATATATTT